GTTTTATTGACTATATAAAGGTGTTTAAATGTGTGGATTATAACAAACTATGGCTAACATGGAGAAGAATGGGAATCCCAAAACATTTAATTGTGCTCATGTGAAATCTCTACCTAGATCAAGAAGCTGTTGTCCAAATAGAGCAAGGGGACACTACATGGTTTAAAATCAGGAAAGGTGTGTGTCAGAAATGGATCTTTTCTCCATATCTATTCAATCTGCATGCTGAAGAAATAATTTAAGAAGCTGGATTCTTTGAAGAATATTATGGCATCAGAATCAGAGGAAGACTCATCAATAATCTGTGCTATGCTGATGACACAGCTTTGCTTGCTGAAAGTGAGGAGGACTTGAAGTGCATGCTGCAGAAAATCAAGAACTGTAGCCTTCAATATGGATTACATTTCAACATCAAGAAAACAAAGGTCCTCATCAACACAGGGCCAACAGAACATCATGATAGATAAAGGACAGAAGTTATCAACTATTCCATCTTCCTTGGATCAACTGCCAAAATCTTTGACACCAGCAGTCAGGAGATGAGAAGATGTGCTGCATTGGAAAATTTCACTATAAGAGACCTCTCCACAATATTTATAAGCAAAGACTATGGTGTGCCAGAGTCAAGCCATGGTCTTTTCAAACACCTTCTATGTATCTGAGAAATGGACAATGAATAAGGATGACAGAAGAATGAATGCTTTGAGTTGGGGTGTTGGAGAAGAGTACTAAGTATCTCATGGACTGCCAAAGAACAAATAGATATGTCTAGGGGAAAGTGCAGCCAGAGTGATGAAGCTCTGTTTCTCACACTTTGGACATGTTGCTAGCAGAGGCTATTCCTTGGAAAGAGAGCTCATGCTTAGAAAGATGGAGGGTTAGTGAAAAAGAGGAAGACAACCCCCTCCCATGAGATAGATTGAGACTGACTGCAGCAATGGGCTCAAATGTGTCAAAGATTATGAGGTTGACACAGGATAAAACAGGTATAATGCCTATTTTTCATAAGGTCACTATGAGTTATGTTCAACTTGAAGGCACTTAACACCAATTCACTAATCTTAGTGATGTAAGGTCAAAGTTATGATTATAATGGTTATGTTTCAAAGTTATGGTTATATAATGGTCATTGCAATCTTCTTCTAATGAGGTGCTTGACCATCACCACAAGGTATCAGACAACTTGTGGCTGTATATCTGGTTTATTCAGTCACAAAGCCTTAAAGCCATCTGTATTCAAATGGAGACCAGCCTTCACATTGAACTTCCCATTATCATAGGTTCACAATTGTCTTTTTTCAGAGCGTTGCGTGAAAGAATGTAGTTCCGCATAATTTTGGGGAGAAAAGCATTTAAAAATTAGCATTCTAAATGAAGGTCATGCTCCTGCCCCTTTTCAAAATCTAGGATTTATCTCCGAAAAATGTTTATGTTCGGAAGATTTCAAGACTGCTCCAAGCTTCTTATTAATTCCTTAGCTCATATGGGCTATTTGTGTCAATCTAAACAATCTTTTTAAGCTCAAAATTCTGTTGTTTTTAAAAAGAATCATTGGTTTAAAAAATCTAATTCAAATAATTTCATTCAGACATGGCAGTAAAAACAATTTAGGAACACGTGAAATCAGGCTATCTCGGCCCCATCGTCTTTCCGTGGTACTTCCTCATGATCTTGGAAGCATTTAGAGCCATGTGAATGGAGGACAATATGGGTCGACAGCTGTAAAAGACTGTGTTTGTTTTAAGACACTTTGAAGGATAACTCTTCTTTTTTTCTCTCTCTCTCCTTTTCTCTCTTCTCTCTTTTGCTGCCAAGAAGCGTTGGCCTTTGCTTCATCTCTGAGGATTTTTTAGTTCAGAAAAACCTTTCTACTTTCAGAAAAAGGGCTGGGCAAGGGTGGAATCTTCCATTATGAACAACAACAAAAACACCTCCTGTCTTCTGCAGCGGGCATCAACCTTGCCTCACCACCATATTGTCCCATCTTTGATGAAGGAGAAATGTAAATTTAACACTGATTACATCCTGCTCTTTCTTGTGATTTCATTTTCTCTACAACCATTCTGAGGCCTCGCTCTTCTATTTCTTCTCCAGGACCAATCTCTCTACTTGATATTTTCCTGTCCTCACTCTGAATTAAAATCAGAAAAGGAGTGTATCAGGGGTGTGTCCTGTCTTCAAAACTTTTCAATCTATATGCAGAACAGATAATTTGGGAAGATGGTCTTTATAAGGAGGAATGTGGCATCAGACTTGATGGAAATTCATCAACAACTTGCACTATGCAAACACAACCTTTCTAGTTGAAATTGAGGAAGACTGAAGTATCTACTGCAGAAAGTCAGACTGCAGTCTTCAAAGTGGTTTTAAGCTCAACAACAAGAAAACAAAGAGTCTCACCACTGGGCCAACTGGTAGCAGCACTTGAAAGGGTGGAGGGACAATGCAGGAGAGGAAGACCCTGGATGGGATGGGTTGACACAGTGATTGGGTAAATAGAGGCAGGTGTGTTGGAGACAGTGAGATTGGCTCAGGATAGGACAGGGTTCAGAGCTATTGTGCATAGGGTCACTATGAGTCACAGTCACCCTGACAACACATAACAACAACATGCCTTCGTATAAATCAATGAGAAGGGCACTCAGCGTAACTTATTCTTGTCCTAAATTCACAACTTTCGTCTAATCATGAAAAAGCATGAGACAAATTAAAATTGACAGAAACTCATTGCCATGAGTCAAAATTAACTCGTATCTGGTCCACATTAGGCTTCTGATGCTGTTAAAGCACCCAAGAGGAGACTACATACAACAAAGCAATTCCCTACAAAACATGCCATCAGAGAAGCATGCAAACACCTAACTAACTAACCCACCACCAGTGAGGGAAGTACGACTCACATGGATTCTCCATGGCTTTTTCAAGGCCTTAAATCTCTAGGGGAGGAGGTTCCTCAGCTTTCCCTCACAGACCTTTCAACTTACACTTAGACACTACTCAGCAGGGCTGCTTGAGAAACTGACGTTGATTAGAAATTAGTGGTGCCCTAGACAAGCGCCTGGAACATAAAAAGAAGGTTAATGGAACAGCTGATAAAATCTTTATTATAACTAATAGTTTTGTACCAATGGTGATTTTTTAAAAGTTGATAATTAAACAAGATGACATTAGAGGACTCATAGTGAAAGCTGTGTGGGAACTCTGTATAACCTCTGTAGCTCTTCTGTAAAGAAAAAAATATTTAAGATTTTATCTTAAATTTTAAGATTTAAAAAAAAAACCTACTAGTTTCTTTAACTGGCTTCTAGCACAGATGCTTCTGCAATCGTTATGGTCAACCCTGGGCAAAAGATTTACACTTCTAGACTCAAATCTACATCCTAAAGGCAAGGTTGGTGGTGTGGTGCACTTGGGATGAGTTGTAGGGATTCCATATACTTTTCTCTGTAAAGTCTAATTCATGGGACATCCAGTAAATACTCCTAAGCAAGTCTTCCCTTTACCCTTTCCAATGTGACTAAATTGATGATTGTTGTCATTGTGTACCGTTGAGTCAAAACCCACCCATAGCTGACCCTCCAGCAGACTTTCAGAGACAGTTTATCACATGGAGGAGATTGCCCAACGTGGAGGAGTTGGAGAAGGCAGCCTTGAGGATTGCAGCTCAGTTTCTTGCCAGTAGGCCATCAAAGCTCTCACTTAAATACAGAAGACAATTGTTAAGTAGTGAGAAAGTCTGCGCTAATTTGTAAACAGATGATGATAATAATTTAATTTCTAAATTCCTGTTACTGCCTTCCTTGCCAAAAGTGTTGTATTAAAATAGAGAAGAGATAAAGAAGAGATGATACCCAAGACAATCTCAAAAAAGGGGCAGGAAAGTGAGAGAAGAACCAGAGGCCTGCTCTCTTCTTTTTAGCTCCTGGGGGCTGTCCAAGCAGGGCTACTGTTTTCTCACCCAGACTGTGGCTCTGAATAAAGGAGGGACTGACTGGGTTCCAAAGATTTCTTAGTTTCTGGGATACTTTTTAAAAAATAATTATTGGCATGCTTACCAAGTTCGTATACATTGTGTTTCTTCACTCACATTGTGTTTCATACAAACATTCTCCTCCATTATGTTTTATAAAATTAATCACCATTGGACCTTGCCCTGTGTCCCCTCCCCCCTCCTCCCACCAAACTGTGCAACCCTGTGCTTTCGCCCAACGGCTTAGTGACACAGTCTCATAAGGACAAATACTGCATAAAACCATTACTGACAAATAGAGGGTAACGAGCTTCTGGGATTCTTTGTCTAAGAAATGTAGACTCGGTCCATTCTGGAACCTGAGAGCTGGTGTTAGTATCTGGTGTTAGCTCCCTTTTCGCTGCACACGGTGGGAAGTGTACCCTCTCTCACCTCCTTCCTCTCTCCATTCTTTCCTCTCCTTTCTGTCTTTCTGTGTTTTCAACGCAACCGTAAACCCGACACAAAACGTTCATTCCCCTTTTCGAAAAGAAAAAAAAAACAAAATTCTAGCTTCAAAAGTGGCAAAAATCAGTGGGGCGTTCACGCAGACTCCGTGGCCACTTGCCTTGCTCCGGGGAAAGCGCAGCCCACCCGCAGTGGGCCTGTCAGCGCCAGGTTCCCATCTGCGGCCAGGACGGCGGCGAGTACCCAACGCCCCGTGGAGAACAACTTCCCCACTGTTCCCGTAAGGAGCGGGTGCCTGCCGCCAGATCGTGGTGTCCGGGTCGGGTCGGGTGACGCCGGGCCAGCCTCCAGCCCGGCCCCGGCCCGCCCACCACGCCCGGCGCGGCCCGTCCTGGCCCGTCCTGGCCCGTCCTGGCCTAGCCCACCCCGCCCGCTGGTCCGGCGCGGAGCCCAGAGCCCAACACCCGCTGCGCACGCTCGCACTCGGCTCTTCGCTGCGCGCTCTCTGGAGCTTAGCGTCCGCCGCGCACGCTTGCACTCGGCTTCAGGGCTCCTCGCCCCGCGCTTTCCGCTGGTTGCGGCCATGTGTTCCCGAGTCTGGCGAGCGCCCGCGTTGCACGTCCTGGCTCTGGGCACGCTGCTGTGGCCGGCGGCTGGCGCCTGGGAACTCACCATCTTGCACACCAACGATGTGCACAGCCGCCTGGAGCAGACCAACGAGGACTCTGGCAAGTGTGTCAACGCCAGCCTGTGTGTGGGCGGCATGGCTAGGCTCTACACCAAAGTCAAGCAGATCCGCCAACAAGAGGCCAATGTGCTGCTGCTCGACGCCGGCGACCAATACCAAGGCACCATCTGGTTTACCGTGTACAAAGGCTCCGAGGTGGCGCACTTCATGAACGCTCTGTCCTATGATGCCATGGTAAGACACAGCTAGCCTGGGCGCGGCGCGTGCGGGGAGGCTCAAGAGCCTGGGGTGGGCGTTCTGGAGGAACAGAGAAACGTAAGAGAGAAGCAGCTGAGGGCATGGGTGGCAAGCCTACAAATAGTTGCTAAGAGATGGTGAGAACGAAGCAAGACAAGCCAGAGTGCCCCGCATGGATGGAGACATGGACATACCTGGGACAAGTCAGTTTCACGGTGTAGATGTTAATTGCGCCCGCGCTATGTGATGGGGTTACTTAGAGGGGCCAGACTGGGCCCTTTTACAAGAGGTTCAGCTGGGTTGCGTAAGAGAATTGAGTGCCAGAGACTGAGCTCGAACTGTCGCGCATCTCTCATTTATTGCAAAGAACACTTTCTCCTTATTTTGTTGAAAAGAGAGCAAGAGTCAAAGAGGTTGCACAAATGCCAACAGCTCAAATAAGTTAGAAGCACAAAGCTCACAGCTGTGGGGTACATTCGTGGATCAAACACCTTCTGTTAGTAGGACGTTGGGCAAAGTATTTCTTCTCTCTGTGTCTCAGTTCCATCCTCTATGAAATCCTTTCGTCTACCTCAGGGGTTGCTTGGCCATAGTATGATCTCAGCAAATACAAATTCTTACCCTTGCCAGACACTATGGTGTATAGATTAAGATGCTCTGGCAGCATAATTTGAGTTGTTCCACAAACCAGCAGCAGCTGGTTGGAATCAGCCATTTGCGCAGAGAGAAGAAGGTGAGCAGTCTTGGACAGACAGACATACAGCCTCGGAGACCTAAGGAATGGCCACTGTGAGTCAGGATTTACTCCACTGCCATGAATTTAGGTAGTATAAATTAAAAAAAGAAAGAAAAACAAAAACCCCTTTAGCGAATGCCAAAATACAAAAACACTGGAACTTCAAAAGGTTTCAATACGTTGGGGTTTCAAAGGATTTCAGTAAAACAGGTTTGGCAGCACAGTTGTACGAAGAGAGTCCAATTTGACTCTTAACAGCCACTTAAAACATGTGAAGCCTTGAAAAGTCCTGCTACAAACTGTCTTTTTTTTTTTTTTTTTTTTTTGGTAGACTGAATCCTAGGAAAGGAGGCTACCCAGCAGCAGATAAGTATGAGGGGAAATACACCTGCTCTTTTAAAAAAAATAAACCACCCTAGCTTAACCCTGGGTAAAAGCCTAATGTAAAGGGATTTGGCGTTTGAGCCTTCCTACCCAGAAGATCCCAGGAAGAAGGCAAGCTTGGTGACCCAGTTCTGAAAACTCCAAACCCTGTTCAACAGCTAGGTCTGCACCAACACACATGGGTTTCCCATGAATCAGAGTGGACTTACTGGCTTTTTTTTTAAATGGATTCAGCAAGAATGTGGAGAAACTAGAGGCCAAGAAGTCTTGGAAACTTCAGAAAAAGAACAGAGCAAGAAAGCCAGAGTAATCTGCTAAGTACACATCAGTTGAAGAAAAGGGGACATGTGATCCAGGCTGGAAAAGAGAATAGTGCTGTGGGAGGTCGGGAGAGCACAATGCTGTTTTCCTCCTGGAAACGTAGGGTTGAATTTGGGGTTTATTTTTGGGGTTTCAGTAAGAGAGCAGGTCATTTTAGAGAGATGAAGCTAGGCTCTTCTTGTTGCTTTCAGATTGTCAGGAACATTCAGAACAGAAATAATTCAGATAGACCCCGGAGCTACCGGGTTCATATGGGGACCTGACCAGCACTGAGACTCCAAGGATCAAGAAGTTGGTGGTTTGGATTTTTGGGTTGTTTTGTGTGTGTGTGTGTGTGTGTGTGTGTGTGTGTGTGTGT